AGCAGCCATGAGTCAGTGGCATAAACAGACCGGCCTCATCACTTTTCAAGAGGTCTGTCTCTCTGTCGCTTCTTATTCCTTTCATGTGTTCGGATAAGCATTGCTGAGAGCATGTCAGTCCTTTTCATAATAACTTCTTTCCAAAGAGCTCCTCAGTATGTAGCTCAATGAATTACAATGAATGGGACAAAATAACCAGGCCCACATGGAATCCGTGTCTTAAGAAAACTCCACGGGTTTTCGGAGAATCGGAACGCCGGGCATTCACAAAATCTACTAATGGTCTGCGCCCCTTTCGCATGCCTGCTTATGAAATATTTGGTCTAATTTGATTGTTCTCAGTTTCCAATAAGAGCAGGGCTCAATACAGCAGAAGGCATCACTGCATGCATGCATGTTTCTGTTGAGCGAAGAGGGCCAAAAGAGTGAAAATGGGCAACAGCTGAACTGACTGCCTGGAATAGAATGGAAAAGAACGCAAGGGTCTTGAGATGCACAGCATCGAAATATTGTGTAATAAAAAAAAATAAATATAAAAAAAAAAAAAGTAAAACATGTATTTGCCCATATTAAACAGAAATGCACCCTTAAAATTGCTGTTATCGTGACATCCAGTGCACTATATTGTTTTGAATTATTTTTCTTGGGTAACTGCACTTTTCCAAGTCTAAATATAGGTTTTTAACTGATTTATTGTTTTGATCATTAAATTAAGCACTTTGGTCCTCCATTCAGGTGTACTTTATGTGATACCTTTGCATAGATAGCAGGAAGAACAGGTTCATGTCATGCATTTGTAAAAATAATACATGTCAAGAGACCTATATGGAATTTTAAATAATAATATAATTTAATTAAAAGTTCTTAATGTTGAGCCTTGAAACATTGTCATCTCAGCCTAGTTTAGAAAAAAAATCAAAATCAGCTCAGAGAAAAAGTCTGAAAACATCCTCCAGTTTAAAATATGCTTTCATATTTTGTTCTTGAGTCAGAATTCTGCATGAGCAAGTGCTTCAGAAACAGTGGGAGGAAGTGGCATTTCTAGTTGGGCGCTTGTTTTTCTGCAAACAGAAACAGGACTGTTATAAATGCCATCGACACCTCTAAAACAAGCTCCAAACAATCAGCTCCCTGCCTGGAGAATGAAATGAGTACTGTATGCTGTCACACGGAGAAAGGAATTAATCATTCCTCTCACTCCAAGTGTTTCTCTGGGAATAAAAGGCTCGGAAGGCTTTTTTTTTTCATTTTGTAAATGTCACGACCACCAACTCGTGTTTTGTCCCTGCGAGCTCTTGGGTTCTCAGTCACGGGTTGAGTTTGAAGGTCTCCGCTGCATAATTTCCTGTCTCTGCCGTGACTCCTGCCTGTGAACTGTAGTTTCCTTTTGAAAAAGTGTACAAACACAAACATACCATCCTTACAGCTGTCTCACTGGCACCGCAGATGTGAATAAGAGCAGTAAATGCCAATCAAAAAGATCTCCTTTTTCAGCTAGGGTTCGAGGTGACAGACTGGGCGTCTGTCTGGATGGCCACATTCCTGTCAAACAGCATAATGAGTCTGAGATGAGAGCAATGGGGAAATGAGCTTTAAAGGTATTTTGTACTGAGGTCTACTTATAATGTTATCAAGATTTTTGCATCAAAAAACATCATAATTTATCCACCTTATTCTTCAAAGCGGAAGTAAGCCTATGGGCAAGACTTCCGGTTCATTAGGCGCTGTGGGGAAATAAGGAGAAGAATAACAACGTGCAGTAAACGGTAAAACTGTTTGCACGACAAACCAGCGTGTTCATAATTAAGATAATACATTAAAATAATAAGTTAAGACACACCAGTTTGCAATATCAAGCAGCAAAACAATCTGTTTTTTACAGCTAAAAATAGCTGGAAGCGGATGAAAGCCAGACCCATAAAAACTACAAATGGCCGCACCCACTCTTACGGGAAGAATAAGGTGGATAATAGCTATTTTCTGTCCTGTTTTGACCCCCCTCATCAGAATGCTCTGTTTGAATAGGTGTGGCGGATTGTCGACTCTGAAGTAAATGCCCACTGCTATGATTGGCTAACAGTTGCGTGTTTGACAGCCTACGGCCTTCTCAGATGGATGCTGCTGTGGTTTAGGTAAAAAACACAAATACTCAGTACATATCAAATGATCTGTAATAACAGACAAATCAATAGTGAGCATGTAATAAAAACAGTTACTCACACTTGTGTGGTGCGACATTACTGTCGGATCCAATATAGTCGTCACAGCATCGTCTTTTAGTTTCAATCTTTCTGAAAATCCTGCGTTGAATTGTGGCTTGTTTGTAAACGAATCCAAGGTAAAATGAAGTAAACAAACGACCAAATTCTTACTGACGTGGTCTGGATCTTCATTAAAAATAATCCACTCTTTTCTAATGTTGGGATGGGATCAGAAGGAAAGTGATGCAAAGACGGTGTTTTTCAACAACTTGGCACTGCACAGCGTCTTCTTGTCTTCAGAACATCTTTATAATTTGATTTCTGCGTAGACCTGCGTTTGATCTTGTAATTTACACCTACATGTGTGAATTGGTGGGCGGGGCTTAGTGCTGACCAAAAATTTATATCATGGTATTTTCCAAAATTATACTGGTTTCACGGTACATGGCGGTATTTTTTTTTTCATGCATGACCGGGTGTTAACCATATTTTCTACTGATTGAGAGAGGAAATACTGCAGTATATCTACTAGAGCCCGACCGATATATCGTTTTGCCGATATTATCGGCCGATATGAGCCTGTCGCCGATATATCGGTATCGGCGAATATGCCGCTGATATGCTGCCGATATGAACATTTTTTTTACAGAACATATAATGCAGATAAAATGCTTGAAATGGTGTAATTACTTAGTTTGTCCAGCAGAGCGCGCTCCATTGTTTGCTACTGGCGACCTGGATGAAACGCTTTAAAGCTTAAGTCAATGGAAAACCATTGAAACTTTGAATGGCCATATCTCCGTAACGGCGCGGCGAATCCGCACCAAATTCGGGTGATCCCTTCAGCTCGAGGAACCCTCTCGAACGCGAATCGAGTGTACATCTCGAGGCCCTCTTTCGAATGAGACCACCCCCGCGTGGATAGCCCCCGGGGTTCGGTTGTTACGGCTGGTTAAATTCGCGGTCCGGTGCCGACCGATCTAGCGATCCCGGGGGGCTACCGACGCGCGGAGGGTGGCGTTCAAGAGGGCTCCTCGAGCTGAAGGGATCCCCAGAATTTGGTGGAGATCCGCCGGCGCGTTC